TTGTCAGCGTCTTCACCTAACAGGACTATGTCATCTGCATATTCTAGATCTAAGGAAAATTCACCTGTGATCCGGTCAACGTCTTTGTAATTAGGTGACGAGAGGGAAACCTCCATAAGAATATCTATGATAAAATTAAATAAGAATGGGGATAGTGGGCATCCTTGACGGACACCACTTGATGAGTATAGCTCCCTGGACAACTCACCATAGGCTCTAACATGCCCACAAGTGTTCGAGTAGAGAGCTTTCAATAAGGTGATGTACTTACTAGGCACGCCTTTCAGTGACAGACACTGCCATAAGACTTCTCGATCAACGGAGTCAAATGCCGCCTTCAGGTCGAGAAATACAGCTATTGTCGGGCGTCTGTAAGCATGCCTATGTTCCAGGACCTGGCGCAGTGTGAATATTTGGTCGATACATCCACGGCCAGGTCTAAAGCCTGCCTGGTTTTCTCGGGCTTGCTGTTCCCGAGCTCCACTCAGGCGTCGGAGAATTATAGAACTTAGGATCTTAGACACTATGTTTGTCAGGCTGATTCCTCTGTGGTTATCACAAGAGGACTTCTCGCCTTTCTTGAAGACTGGGATGATGAGTGACTTAGACCAGTCGGAGGGGATCGTATTTGATTCCCATATACTGGCTAACACTTCCGTTAGCCTGACTAAGAGAACTCTACCACCATTCTTGTATACCTCAGCAGGTAGTCCGTCTGGTCCTGCTGCCCTTCCCGTTTCAGGCTACCTACCGCTTTCTCAACTTCTTCTAGTGTTGGGGGACCTGTCTCTATGTCCCATTCAGGGTCCGACTGGATAGCGGGCAGCGCAATGGTGGCTGGAGGCCAGTTAAACTGTTCCTCAAAGTGTTCTGCCCATCGTCCCAGTCGCCTTCCCTGCGAGTGAATCGCCGATCCGTCCTTCTCCGCTATAACCTCACTAACTGTTGTTGACCATTTCCCCCCAGTCTCCTTAATAAGTCTAAATAACTGTCTACTGTTACCGATCGCCGCTGCCTTTTCCATCTCTTTAGCCTTTGCTGCCCACCACTGTTCACGATCGTTGCGCAGACTTTTCGTCAGTTTATTTTTAAGTTGCGCTCGCTCTTCATTGTACTCAGAGCCTGCAGGGATGCATTCACGTGCATCCATTAGTTTGGAAGAAGCTGCTGATATCCACTGGCTCTTTTTAGCCATTATCTTGGAGTCGGCTACAGTCTCCAGTGCTGCTTTTACAGTAGACTGAAGATGGCACCAAGCTTCTTCTGGATGAGTGACAGTCTTTTGTTCCGATAACTGCCTAGCCAACTTCTCACTGAACACGGCTTTGGTGTTTTCGTTGTCCAGCAGAACTCGTAGTGGTTTTGTTGCCAAATTTTTTCTACGTCCATTGAGACGCAGGCATATACGTGCTCGGACCAACGCATGATCGCTGTCCAAACACGTACTCCAGAAGGAGCGGCAGTCTTCCACCGATCCTCTCCAGCGATGACTAATAGCAATGTGGTCTGGAGTTGAGCTCGGTGGACGCCAGGTCAGACAGTGCCTTTCTTTATGTCTGAAATTTGTGCTGGCTAAAAATAGGCGGTTATCTGAGCATAGTTGTAATAGGCGATCACCGTTATCTGTACGTTCAGCTGGGATTCCGAAAGTGCCACCTAAGTGCCTTTCTGCCTCACTCAGTCTACCCACCTGTGCGTTGAGGTCACCTGCAACAACCACTACGTCCGAACGTTTGGCTTTCGAGAGGAGGTTAGACAGTTTATGGTAGAACTCGTCCTTCACTTCATCCGAACTACAGTCAGTGGGTGCGTAAGCAGAGATTACAAAGAGACAACGGCGAGTCTCACTATTCCTTTTAGTTCTCACTGTGCCGTTCAGCCTCATAGCGCAGAGGCGACTATCAACTGGGATCCAGTCTAGTAGTGAGTTTTCTGCCCTGGTGCTTAATGCTATACCTACACCTGCAAGACCTCGAATCTCCAGAAACTCGAAGGGTGAATTTTGCAGATTCACCAGATTGGTCAGGAGAGGTCAGGTGAATAACCCCACTTGGGTCCTGTATGCGTGTCTCACAAACACAGCACACATCCATGCCCGAGTTGCTAGAGTCTTTGCCAACGAAGCCTGTTGGCCAATTTGACGGAGGGTGCGGACATTGAAGGCTCCAATATGTAATTTGGAGCGTGGTTTAAGGAGACCAGGGATGCTGTTCTGTGGACTCAGATCGTTGTCGAAGGCTGCAGAGGTAGGAGAAATTGAAGATGATGCAGCATCATTAATTAAGAGACGTGAAGGAAGATTAGAAGGTAATGATGGAGGAGGAGGATAGCAGTCAGAAGAAACTTGGGTGCTGACAGAGTTGTGAGGGCGGTTGACACTTCCCGGCTGCCCACACCGTGGAAGGCTATTTCTTCTTAAGGTACCTGAAAGAGATTTGTGTGACCGCAGAGCCCATCGGACATCTGCTTGAGGCCTGTCACACCCAGCCTTTTGAGTATGATTATTTTGAACTTTTGTATTTTTGGGGCCGGATGGTCGAAAGGAAACGACAAGTGAACCAACACCGCCGGCCCGGCAGACCGTGGGGCGTGGTGGAGTGTGTTATTTTTGGGGCCGACCTTTTCTAACCCCCCCTTCCACTGAGAAGGCAGCATCAGCATGGCACTGCTGGTCATCCAAGGGAAACACCTTACTGCTGTCACACCCCATCCAGCTAGCAGCAGTACGACTTCGCCCTCAGACCCCCATCATAGTGTAGCAATTTACGCTACAACGGTAACTGCTTTTCGTCTAACCACTACCCAACAGACCTTTCTGGTATGGTAGGACCTCGAGGGAACAAGCGTTCCACCAGCATAGCTCGTTGGGTCATTGTGATATGCAAGCCCGACCACCACGTCAGAGTGGCAGCTGTCGGTCTGGGGTGTTGCGTGTACTGCACAACAGTCCACTGTGTTCTACTGTATGGCCGTGAGACAAGGCCGTTTAAGGTGGAAGATATAAGAAGGCTTCGTGTATTTGACCGCCGTTCCCTTCGTAATATAGGACGTTTTCAGTGGTGTCACCACGTGAGTAATGTGCAGGTCAACTGTAGAGTTTTAGGGAGTAGAGGTAAATCAGTTGACGAGGTTATGAACTTTCATCGACTGTGATTGTTGGGACTTGTGTTACGTATGCCTAGTCGCCGGCTGCCTCGTCATACAACGTTGACAGAAGTAGGTCCAGGCTGGAAAAAGGTCCGAGATGGCCAGACTAAAACATGGCATCAATGTATGAAGTCTCTGACCATTGGTTTGAACCATGTGGGGTGATGCAGACTAGGTGGTTGGGGTCCGCGAGACAAGAGGAACCAGTGGTTGGAGACTCTAGGTGATATGGCTCAGAACCGATGTCAGTGGCGCAGATGTATACACACATTATCCTCATCTTAACGACGCTATACCGAATCTCACCATTCTCTCATTCTTCCTTTCTTTCTCCTCGTACTTTATATTTCTTTTGACTGAATTTTCTTATCTTCATCTTGCAGTTCATTGCCTTTTTAGTTGATGTACTGATATGAGCTGTGGCAACTCGAACCATGACGCAGTAATGCATGGTCGTATGTTGATATTGAGTGATTGATTGATTAACAGATGTTACTGAGTAACTAAAGATTTTTAGAAGAAGGATCACTGTAAAACGTGTCTTGAAGATACAAGATAGTCTAAGATTTTTTTTCAGTTTATACACATGGTTTTAATTCCAGAAAGCTAATTATATGATAATTGAGAAGTCTTTATCTCCAGTATAATATAACTAACTTAGTTGTATGAAGTAGTAACGTGCTGCAGATTGATTTAGGCGGTTTGGATTTATTGTTACTTTGAATATCAGCCTAAAGATTACTAAAGTAACTAATAAGGTTTTTTAATTCTAGCTGAAAAAGTAGTTTTTCAAAATTTAAAATAAAACTCAATTGGTTATCATTTAACTATCCGAGATAGCCGTAGTTTGGCAGACTATTGTATATACTAGGTGGTGATTTAAGGTAAAATGGAAATTTCTGACCGCAGCCGGATTCGAACCAGCTACCACTAGGTTACCGGCACGGCCTCGTAGCTCAGTTGGTAGAGCACCGGGCCAGTAACCTGGTGGTTGTTGGCGCGAATGCGGCCGCGGTCCAACTTTCCATTTCACCTTCACTCATCACCCAGTATCAATTGGTTATATCAGTAGCTCCTGAGGTGACCTTTAAAGTCACCCAGGATACTTAGTCATTATCAGCCAAGAGGGTGGACTACGTTCTCAGGGAAATTCAGAGTAAAGCAGTTACACTATCAAATGTAGAAAGCTAGCCTCAAAAAATAATATATTTAGGCATTTCAGAATTACGGTTACAAAAGGATAGCGCGTACGCTCACTAGTGCTTAAAAACTCAGTTCAAAAAGTGGTAAACAGTACTTGTTATCTCTTTTATTGTTATTATCGGGAAGTCACAATTTAGGGAGCACATACATACATTAAAATAAGTTGGATTATTATCCGTCATTTAGGCACTAGCTATTTTATTTTTTCAAAAAAACTAGGGGGACGTAAATTTTTAACGCAGTAATAGCTGATCGAATATGTAGACAATGGAGCTGCAACTGTTGTTTTATTGTTTCAGTTGGAAAAATAGCACTAAGATTCTACTGTAACGTTAAAGACCGAAAGCAATTGAAGTAAATCCTTGAAGTTGAAACGGGTTTTATGTTGACTTGACCAAAAAAGTGTATTCTTATGAAACTCGTAGCAATGGAGTTCAGATTTGTTCAAAATTTTCAGGAACCTGTTTACCAGTTATCACTTTCCACAAACATTTAAGAAATTCCACCAACTGAATCTACGTTTTTATCCCATAAAATATTCTTGTTTTTATCCATTGGTGAAGGTATTTGGAAAGGTTTAAAATTACTTTTGCCTGTACATATAGAGTTATTGCTATGCGAAGTGACTAATCTTCGATTATGGCCTTAAAATGTCATCTGCTTTTGTCAACTGGATTTTAGGTGAGCAAAAAATAGAATTCCATAATTCTTGAGCTAATAGGATTCTGTGACTGTGTTTTGTTGATCTTTGTAGTAGAAGTTCAGGTCGTAGTGCAAAAATGACAAGACGGAGACAAAGGAAGGAATGTTTATTATTGACATCTTGTACAGTAGTCATAAAATATTAATTCACATTGCACTAAGACAGTCATTTGCACAGTGTGCTTCATTTCCTCTTCTGCTTCCATCTTGATCTGCTCTTAATACGCCCACATTGTCTCTTGGGTATTCATGAGCAGAATCTTTACCCATCTCTGGTAACTCCTTATGATTTCTGCTGCCCTTTTAACAGATACTACTTATATTCATTCTGATCAGCAACGCCCACTACAATAGGTTCAAACTGTTCGATCAGTTGACGTTTCATCAACTGGTAACCCTCATGTGCAATAGATGTAACTCATGGGATTGTATATTAACACATACGTGACTGCTAAGTCGCATTATATTGTTAGTATTGTGTGCATAAATATGGGAGTATCTAAACATGGTTCTTTTTCACTTTCTACTTTTCTATTTGCTGCTAATATTCATCGCGGCATAGAAAAGACAATTTCATGGAAGTAAAGGGAATTAATTATTAGTAAGGTTGTTTACGTTGATGCGCAACTATCGAAGCTGAAAGGAAAAGATAAAATGATGTTAGACGTAAGGAATCGATCTACAGAAAGCTTTGGTTCAGCTACATAATTGTAGGTCATATCTATGATATACTTAATTCATTACTCATTAAATCAATAAAGTGACTATGTGAATGCTTTGATGATTAGAAAAATTAGACTTGAAGAGCTAAAAATGAGTACATGAAAAGTACAGTTTACATTAGATGAGAAGAAGAATAACTAGCTTTTTGGGTATTGACTACTTGTTAACCGAATTCTTTTTGTGAACTCTTTCTATTTTTGCTGATAAATCAACTGCCAGTTAGGACAAGATGATTTAGTATTATAATTTGCCTGGTGGCTAGCAGTGAATTCCAGAACACATTCCTTCCTATTTGGGACCCTTTATATATATATATATATATATATATATATATATATATATATATATATATATATATATCTATATATATATATATATATATATATATATATATATATATATATATATATTAGTTGTTGTTCGTTGCCTTTTTGAAAGTTATGAGATAGACTGTAAATTCGCATCTTCAGTAATTATTGTGACGTCTTAACCTGTTAATATGATCTCGATGTGACTTATCATAGCTCGATTCTAAATTGAACAGTTAAGAGTAGCTTTGAAATTCGATGAAATTGATGTTAACTATTCAGCATAATTCCTTGGTGTAGCTATCAAGGCATTAGAAGAAACTATCATTGTAGCTGAAAAGGGTTGACTACCAATGTAACTGAGGAAGAGCAGAGACAAAAATTACTATCTGTAAGTTTCCGAGCGTAATCCTTTTGATAGACGATTGCGAATACAAGTTAGTGAAGCTAAATTTGGAATCCCGTGGGAGGTTTAAAAATTCATGATATTTATTCAAGGTTCGACTTTCATCAATTTCAGATCAAATTGTCATGAAATGATATTTCCGAAAATCTATATATTTTTCATCTGGTTAATTGTTTATAAGTTCATGTAGTCATTGTTGAAGTGAATGTATGAGTTAAATTTTGAGCAATATAGATCTACCTTTTATCACTTTTCTCCTGATAGATTCGTCTAATCATTGTTACGATAATTCATCAACTGTGTTTGATTGTGCAACAATACAGGCCTTTCTGTTAATTGAAGCTAAGGCATATGCTGCAGCAGTACATAAATATAACCAACTTATTGAAGAGTATCCTTTCTGTCCTCAGCTGTATACAGGACGTGCTGCTGCTTTGATGAAACGAAATTGGTTAGTCAGATTTTAATTTTTCTCCATTCACTTAATTTATAGAAATTTGTTCAGACATAATTATTGTATTCATTGTATTAGAGCTTCATTTTTCACTTAACTGTTCCATAATACATTACTAGCCTGCATATTAATATTGTTTTAGCGAAATCACATATTTATATCCAATATTTTGCCCATCATTCTATTTGCCTATCTATATCACACTAACAAATGGGATATGTATAAATTTAACCGTCCCTGCTTTCTGCACCTATAAATTTATTTTAATGTAGCTGGAACAACGTCACTAAATAAAATAAAACCAGACTAGAGGTTTCAATTTTTTTTCTGTAATCAACACTTTCTTTTGTTAGCAACCAATTTGTACTTTATATATATACGCTGAGAATTCCAAATTGTACCACAAATTGTTTGGAATAAAGTGAATTATATATATATATATATATATATATATATATATATATATATATATATATATATATAGAGAGAGAGAGAGAGAGAGAGAGAGAGAGAGAGTGTCCGTTTACATACCAGATAACTGCATATAAGAGTTGAACTGCTATATTCCAGATATCTAATGGATGTCCAAGAAAGCTATTTATCAAAGCAAAAATAAGGTCTAATATCTAGATTAGTCACTATACAGTAAACAGGGATAAATCAATGTACCTTATCTGACAGTGCAGGAGGTTAGTCCAGAATAACTCAGCGATGAGCTCAAAATGCGGCAATGAGTATCAGGGTTTATGGTTTCTAGGAGAACTGCAGTTTTTTTGTAGGTGGCAGATATACCGTACTGAGAAGCATGTATTAAAGGCGTTCTGCTTCCTGCCAAGTATCAATCATATTCGAATATACTGTATCAGGTTGTAAAACAATTATTTTCTGCTAAAAATTTCCAGTTTTACTCATAATTATTGCACAATTTCCATTTATTATTGTTGAAATGTATACCCATTGTTAATTTCACGAAACTCATACTGGTAAAATAAAAAGTCTCGCATAATACAATGATTTCGTTGAATTTTGTCTTCAACTATGTACAAATTGAATTGAATTTATTTCTTAAAAATGAATTAGTGAATAAGAAGTCTGTAGGCCATTAGAAATTTTTAAAAAAATGTGAAGCACAGTTCTGGAGTGTGTAGTATAGTCAAAGGGTGTCGTGTTTTATTTAGATCTGGGTTCAAATTTCAGAAGCACCTTAAATTTTCTTTTGCTGCATAGGCTGTAATAATATGGTTGCAAATAAAAGAATAAGATTAAAAAAGATTTTTTAACCTTTGAGTTAAAGTCAACGAATTGTAATCATAATTCAAAGCGCTTATGCAACCTTCGTATTCTACCAGATTTGTCGTTCTCGATTCGCTTATTACAAAGCGGAAACCAATGTTTACTGCATTATCGGCAAACTCGTTTAAGATCATTGGAAAGAACTATTTACTTTCCTGTAGATATCTTCCTTCTTCTTTACTTGTTATCCGCTCACTTGATAAATACTAGTGGAGATTTTGAGTTTCTGAACTTTTTTGTTTGTTTGCAGCTCTTACATTCACTTATTGTTAAAAAAGTTCGACTATGATGTCGATTGGAGTTGTTATTTGAACATCACAGTATTTTAATCCTTGTGACACAAAGAAACCATCTGTAAGTTGGATACACTTTGAGGTCAGCGTCTTCAAATAATAACCTTTTTGGTTACATCCGAATGTAAATACTTTAGAGTAATCATCGCGAGTCTTTTTCACTCAGAATTGGTATTAGCTTTTTAGAAGTAGACAAAGTACTCGAGTGTTTGTCTAAATGATGTTGTGGACATGTGTAGTGTTATGGACTTTCATTTCTCGGAAAGCAAATCTAGGTCTTTCATACTTGCTTTAACGTCCATCTGGCTGCTTTAATTCATAATGTTGACCCTTCTGAGTTGACCGTTCTTTGTATTCGAATATCATTGTTTGGGGGATCGCTTAGATTAGATTACCTACTTGTTGTATTACCATCCCTAAACTGGATGAGAAATAGAGAGATAGCGGATTTTCGACGTATTGTCTATTAAATTAACGTCTGTCGATGCATGTTACTTCCTAGTGAGAAGTCACAAAAGATCATAATTCATTCCCTTTGGGCTTTGGTAGCTAAAACTCAGTTATTGTTCTGTAAAGCCTTTTTCTCTTGTGCAAACAACACAAACTAGAAACCAGTTGTTGTTTCTGTGGACACTCTTGTACATTACTGTTTCTGTTTCTCTAGCGGTAACTGAAATTTTTAAATTTACTTTCGTCTATCGTCATAATGTCTGTGTTATTTTGCTTGGTTCACATCTTTTTCACGACTTTTGGTAAAAATACCTTTTTTATCTTGGTTGGAGTGAGGTTGCATGCGTTGAATACGTTTTCTAGGCAAATTACCTACTCTTATTTTAATTTTAGGAATGGTGATGTTTACAATGCTCTGTTGGATTGTCGAAATGCTATGCAATTAACTACTCAATGTCACACTGATTCCAGTGATTCTCCCAGCCTCCAATACAAGAGTTATGTCAATCTTCATGGATCATTCAATAGTTCTGTTCATCTTACGGCTTTGTTGCTTTCAGTTCGCTGTTTATTATCCTTAGATTGGTTAAGTGCTGCTCGTATTCAACTTAAACAAGCTTTAGACATCTTTCCTAATCTCCTAAAAAATACTGCATCTCAAAGTTATCCGAAAAGACATTCAGTTCTTCTGCAGCTACCACCACTACTTGTAAAAGCTCTTCATCTAAATCAGATGTGCTAATAAAAATATTTGAACGTTTAAAAGCAAAGTTATTGATAAGAGAAAGGAAATTAGAGTCGAAATTCATTAATAAGTCGGAAACAGAGAACAAGCAGGTGGGAGAAATTACATCCTCAATGTATGATGACAACAATATTTCTAACGATGATGGTCAAAAGAATTCTACAGTTTCGGGATCTGGAAACAGTATGTCCTATTTTCTACTGGGTGCTGGGACTCCAATAAGTTGTTTTCTCTTTTCAGTTGTGTAACTGGGACATGCATTTAAAGTAACCCGCTTGGTTGTGGCTAGTAGAAGAATCCAGGACGCGCGTTTCTTCCTATTTGGGACTCGTCGGCTGGATGTTCCTGCACCCAATGATGTTATTCTCACTGGGACTCGAACCTCTTACCCATTGCTTCAAACACCAAGGCGTTATGCACTATGCCACGGAGGAACGATAGCCACTTCTTGTACAACAGGTAGTAGTTATTACTGTTTATTGACATACTTGTTATCCTCCGTTGTTTTGTTGGGTCGAATTGTCTGACCTCTATTGGCATATAGGCTCCTATGCGGAAGCCTTGGTATTGCGTGAATGTTAATTATGATAACTTGGTTGGGTGTCAATAAATAGTAATAACTACTACCTGTTGTACAAGAAGTGGCTATCGTTCCTCCGTGGCATAGTGCATAACGCCTTGATGTTTGAAGCAATGGGTACGAGGTTCGAGTCCCAGTGAGAACAACATCATTGGGGTGCAGGAACATCCAGCCTACGAGTCCCAAATAGGAAGAAACGCGCGTCCTGGATTCTTTTACTAGCCACAACCAACCAAATTATCATGAATAACATTCACACAATATCGAGGCATCCTCATAGGAGCCTATATTATATGCCAATAGAGGTCGAACAATTCGATCCAACAAAACAACGGAAAATAACGTGTATTTAAGATGCCTAACTATGTAAGCACTTATAGAATAGAAGTTTTAGCAGGATTCGTCTCTCACAATGTCAGTGTGTTGGATAAGACTAAAATTACTGAAATTATATGCTTATTGGTGACTAGCAGTGGAATCCATTGTTCACGTTTCTTCTTATTCGGGATGCAGACGTACACGAGGTCGTGCTCATGTGTGATCGGAGTCCAAACTGGTGTAGCAATCGTCCACCAACTCTCTTGGAATGGGAATTTAATGGGTTTGCTCGTTTGGAATAGTTGCAGGTTAAGAGGTTGAGGAAGTTGTAAGAGGCTTAATATTATTATCAGGAGGTAAAGATGAAGGAGGAGAAGGAGTTTGGGTTATGTTTGATTGGGTCTTATGTATTGATAGAAGCGTCCAGGCGGTTAACCCTTCCTGGGCTGCCCATACTGTGGAAGATTATTTCTTCTTAGGTTACCCGGGAGAAAAAAAGATTTGTGTGATCGGAGAGCCCATGGAACACCTGGTGGTACCCTATTACTTACTGCGTTTTGAAGATTGTTGGGTTGAGATTTGATTGTTCTAACACGGTACGGAAAAAAAATATACTTCCTTCACCGAAAGACTGTGGGGCGGGTAGCAGTGTACTGTTTTTAGGGCCGACCTTTTCTAACCGTCCCTTCTGGTAGGGAAGGCATCATTAACTTGACACTGATGGTTATGGAGGAGAAATATCTTGCTGTTATTATACTATGCAACCAACAAAAGGACTTCGCTCTGGAATCCTAATCATAGTTTAGCAGTTTACACGATAACGGTAGCTGTTTTCTCACCACTGTGATGGTAGAATCTTGAGGGAACCAGCATTCCAGCTAGTGTAATTCTTAGGGTCATTGTGATATATAGACCTGGCGTCAATGTAGCAGCTGTTATTTGGTGGCTTTTGACCACCAAACGCTTTGCAGATTGTCGGGTAATAATTTTTCAAACGCACAAAGAGAATCCGACGGCCAGTTTATTATTGATCGATTCTCTCAATCTTTTGCTTTGTCGTGTTATCATTCTAATGAGATAGCCTGGTGGTCACCGGTTCAAGTCCCGCCGTGACCCAGATTTTCATTTCACCTTCAGTCTTCACTCAGTATGAATCAAAACCGAAAGTTGCAAGTTTTTCAATGGATGTCTGTTCATATTGCTATGCAGTGATGGCTCCAATTGACGTTTACACATTCATAACACCGGCATACTGAAGTCTCCTGACTAGCTTTTGTGATATGTTAGAAATGAGTGATTACCTTTCGTCAAGTACTAAGCCTCTTAATTTTCGTTATCTGTACGGATTTTACACACTCCAAGTCCTTTTACCGGATTCATTATATTCTTCTTCTTCACAAAAGACTGAAGTTGACGTTTCAAATTATTTGATTCAGCCATCAGGAATGAATGCAACGTTTAATAATAATACTTTTCCTAAAGTGTGTTATCGTAAGTTTTTTTCGAATTCATTTTAAGAAAAAGGATCAAATGTTCGCAATGCCACGTCAACTTCAGTTCGGTAAAGCAGAGCTTATACAGTAAATCTCAGTTAAAGTTTTACTTATTGCTGAGTTTCATGGTGTCTCAATTTTAAAACTGGATTTATTTACAGCATATCAAACTGAAAATATTTTATGAACCTGTCGTATTCGATTATGACCGATTAGTTGAGGCTCTAATTTGTAGTCCTAGTTTTGAAGTTATGTACTTTTCCCTTTATAAATAAGGCCTACAAAATTGGAATATTTCATAAGTTATTTGTTAGGTTTAAGATTTTCAATCATCGGACCAATGCCCAACTAATCAAAAGTTAGCATATTTTCTGTACAAACCAACAATCAATACGAAGAATATTCTTTTCAATCAATCCTCATTAAGTTCTACAGTTCTGCATTTATATAGTGTAAAAACAAGCCAAGTTAGGGGCAAATACATTTTCAAAATGGAGTGGAATTTAGGGACTGAAATGAAACCTATATATGTTTCTTAAATTTGTCAATAGTGGGGTGACATATGTACAGATGAATAATGCGATGGTAAACGAAAAGACACTGAATAAAGAAAACATGAATTACCTTTACTTTACTGAAGTTCAAGGGAGGAATACTATTTGGATATGATCTTTCAGAATGCAAAGTTCAAGTTTGATTAGTCTTATTGCGATGGCCTCAGCTATGTTGAGTAGATGTTGGTGAGCTACACGTGGTATAGGTTTTGACACACGAAATATGACATTGAAAGCTTCCTTAACATCTATGTGGAATGCCTTGTATCTACTCAGTGTGCTAGGACAGAACTTCCCACTTTTCTGTAAAAAGCTAGTCAAGAGTGTGTAGTACTACCAATCCATGGAATAGAAGAAAACACTTCTACCATGGTGTGTAGCTTGATATTTGCGTACACGTTCATATGCTAGGGGTTGTGCAATGTATATTGTACCAGTACTTAGGTTACCACCAGGTTGCTCCTACTTCGATTAATATTATGTCATTGGAGAATACTATCCTGTCTTTTAAGATTATTCCAAGCATTATTTTAGGCATAACTTGTGAGCTGATGTCTTTTCATGGCATTCAAACGGATTTTCTTCTTCTTTGGATCATTTAACCTATTATGTAGTATTTAGATATCTGGGTAAGTAATAATATAGATTTCAGACTCTCCAGTAGGATATTAAATACTTCATATTGACCTCTATCTTTTTATCATAACAGCTGATAGGATAAGAATCCACTTTGAGCACTTGCAATGTTTGTTTCCATGTGTATTTCGATCTTAATAAACCTTCAAATTTTTGTTTTCATCAGGTGATTGCTTTTGATCTAACAGACTTTGCTTTCACTGTATTCTACTTTAGTATCAGAGCAAACCTCCTCACAATCACAATGGGATTGTACTGACAATGTTGAAAATCGAACGGATTCACCAAACTTATGCGCTTGTTTTAAGCTGTTCATGTGATCACATGTTGGTTGGAGACGATGAAAGAGAAAGAAGAAAAAATGCTACGGATTATTCGGCATCATATATTGGTCATTGTAATTCGATTACCGATATTAAAGAAGCAAACTTTTTCGGCAGGTAATCAATTATAAATATTGATTATTAATCGTGAAATCATTGTAAAAGTTATCATTTAATCTAGGGTTTTTCTATTTTAACTGTCTGTCTCTGAATGTGTAGTTGTCAGTGTAGATTTATTCACTCGTGTGAAGTCTGTTAATCAACTTCTAGCACATGCTGGCTTTCGCATTGTAAAACTTTACAAGGGAAAATATTTCAGTTGTTAACTGTTATACCTAATTTATAGGTCTGTTCAAATTTCTTGTTATTTTGCTTTGCTCTAGTTGAAAAAATTTGCTCAAATGCTTGTAGGTATCTGAAATTTGCAACAGTAAAGATTGTTTATCTTAGAACAGTTACTTTGGAAATGTTGCTTCCCCTTGTAGTATCACTCTAAACAGCATCGGAAAAGCTGCACGAAGCAACAGTGTGCATGAATTCTTTCACAAGTTGCTTAATAGCATTCCTTGATAGTCTTGCATGGAGCTCATGATTGTCAGTATTTATATTTATCACTTCTTACAGATATAAATTTATCCCTGAGATATGAAATTGGTGACCAGGTCATCTAAGCAACTAATCGAAATACGCGCGTGTGCACTAATAGGGTTTCCTAGCAGTTGTTATACCCGACGTTGTGGGCAATTAGCCAAGATATTCCATTACTTTTCAAGTGTGAATACAGTTTGAGTTTGTTGTATCAGTCAGTTATATCTAAGAAAAAATAATACGATAAAATATGCATGGACGAAACAATTTTAACCGCAAGGAATCAACCATTGGAAACAGAAAAGGGAGACATACACATATGTCACTGGGAATGATTCCAATTTACATTCTTTGCTCTCTCGAAGTGACACACCGTCCCTAAGCTCGAACCAATGGTCAGGAACTAAATGGTTCACTAATTACCTCGTGTTATGATTTTCGCCGGCTATTTGACGGTTTTAGTAGACGTAGTTAACAGTAGCTCTTAAGTTTTACACTATTTGGTCCAATTGTCTTACCAATTTTGCTATCATTCTTCTACCTTTATATATATATATATATATATATATATATATATATATATATATATATATATATATATATATATATATATATATATATATACCTTTGATTCTTTTGACAAATTATTAGGTAAGAGGTTGTACGTTCATAATATTAATCCTCAATTGAATTAGAATTGCTTTGGATTAACATTTACTGATAATTTGCAACAAAATTTTAGCTACGGCCAGTATATCGTTGGCGGATCTGACTGTGGAGCATTCTTTATTTGGGACCGTAATACAACTAATATAATGCGGATAATGAAAGCAGATAGTTCAACAGTGAATTGTGTTCAACCTCATCCATCTATCTGTCTGTTAGCTACTTCTGGAATTGATTCTGTCATTAAACTTTGGTCACCCAATTGTGAAGTAGGTTAACTTGGAATTAATTATATCAGTACTTTATTTTGACTACTAACATGTTGGTAATCTTTACCTGACTGAGTAAAATGTTTATTTTGTCTATTATTTGTGTACACTTAATCAATTAAATGAACAACTGATATCATAATATGTAGATCATCTTAATATGCAGCTATCAGGCAGTTAGTTGGATACAGACAATTTGCAGAAGTCCTCGACCTCGGTTTTGCTCTTGTTGACACACGTGTCAGCAAGGTGTATCTGCAATCTCTACGGAACTGATGTCCCGTCTGAGATTCGGACCCGCGTCACCCCATGTTACTATCAGAGACGTTACCACTAAGCTATTCGGGCCACGCCTGACCTCTTGCAGAACTGAATTAGGCACATTGATTGGTTACTGAAAGATAACCAAATACATGTAGTCTAATCCTAAGCGCTAATCGAATTCTACCGATCAAATAATTCCAACTTGCTTGATGGCTAGCTTTCACATTTCTAACTGTTTATGTCTGGTTAACTACAAGGCATAAAAATAATGTTAGTTAGTATTGTTAGACTTAAATATTCATGCATTAGTTTGTTCCGTTTCTATTTACTTATTTTCCGTTATAAGCTACAATCAGCAGTTGAAAAATGCTGTTATATCTACCATATGTTTGTACATGTGCAGCAATTAGATACTGTAGCGGTATATAAACATCTTCAATGTAATATGGAGCTTCTAACTGCTAACTGTTCAAGTCCACTCTGCCTATTTTGACTGCAATAGTAGTATCATAAACCTGTTGCACGTAGAAACCTGCTCATAGCTTCATAGAAAACCAGATAAAAGGTTACTGAGTTGGTTTACTTATTTAGGGAGCTGTGGCTCAGTGGTTTAGGGAGATGGCTTTCAACCGGTGGGTCATGAGTTCGAATTCCGCCCCATCTACCGGGACTTTGGCAGCCGGGTAGCATCACCCGCGCCCTCACACGATTGGTGTGCATAACGTTGCTGAGCAGATTTCGACTAGATTATTTATTTTATCGATTGGTAATGTAGGGCACAATTTGTGTTTAAATATCGAATCGCATTCATTCGAGGATGATTTTATGATTACTGTTGACTGAATCACTTAAATGTTCTTACTAGCTAGCGAAGAAATTCTTCGTAGAAAAGTGAAGCATCTACGAAGTATGTGATAAAAAAGTCTACTGACACATTAGTGGATCTCTACATCAATACTGAAGAATCATTTTCTGCTCAAAACAAAAACTTGCTATAATAGGGATTCAACAAATGCATAGAATGTAACGAAAAGGCATTGGTGCATAAATATGAAGAGATCGCGAGATATACCAGTAATAATAGCAATAATATTAATATAATGATATTATGATGGTAAAAACCTTCTTGAAGTTCATCTTACTGTTCAGATGCTAAACAAACGAAAATTTTAGTTTTATCACTACAATTGAAAGCTATCTGATAAGATATTCAGTCACTGATCTGTATTATTTCTGGAACATCGCCTAAACAGACGTGATTTATCAATGAACATCGATCCAATGCAAACATCGTTAACCTTATGGTTCTATATTATAAGTTAGTCACCTTACCCTGTTCCAGCCGTCTCCACTCAAAAGTAATTGGCATAGAATCCACTGTAATGATATATATATATATATATATATATATATATATATATATATATATATATTCCACTAATAGTGACATTAAGCTGCAAAATTATCAGTTGTTTGTCCATATCTAACCTCTCTTTGGATGCCAGGACTATTCACATACTTTTCCCAAAGAATGTAGGGTTACTACAGAAATATCAGTGATCGAACCTAGCTGTTGGACATCCTCAGCTTGCAAAGGTTAAGTTTCATAAGAACATAGCGAAATCCTTCTCAACTTATTGTTGTACACTAGAACTTTCACCCCAAGGCATTTGTTGCTATGACTGTGAAGATGCTCATAAGCTGGAGTATACAACAACTCTATCAGTTACTGTGAAAATACCCAAATTGTTTCTACCTACTTACCAACATAAGTTAGTGAAAGAACATTCTTGTGTTCGCCTTGCTGCACGATGTAAGATGTATTTCATGCAAATTCTAACGACTACTTCTGCTACTAAAAAGATGACATTATCTGTTTACTCTTATTTGAATAAGAGATCTACAACATCCCACATTTTCTTCAATATGAATCAGAGAATCACGCGTTAAAATAATTTTAAACAGAAACCGACTAAAATGTAAAGAAAAGGTGGAAATCGACTAAAACAGATCAGGATTGGTAATTACGGTAATAAATTGGTGATGAAGTTTGGTTTCCTGATCAAAGTTTATTTCCTGATAAGTGAGAGTTTAAATTGACATTCTGGAAAACTAAGTGACACATCGCAGGTTAATTTTCGATAAGTTATGTATGAAGGTGGTTTTCAAACTAACTCTATACGGGATTCTAATTGTTTATCTCTCAAGAATGAATTTTCATATTGACTACTTGTATAGAAGTCTACCCATTATCTAAGCAGTTCGAAAATATATTCCTTTTTTTCGGTTTCATACCCAAATCACTTCGTGATAGGGTATATGCCTACAACTTTTTGAAATTATCAAATAACTTCATTTCGACGATGGACATTTTTCTCTTCTATCTTGTTACTATAATATTAAATCTTTCGTTATTCTATTCAACCAATCCTGTAGCAGTATTCACCTGAATTTTATATTGATCCATTGTTGAAAAATATTTATCTGATTACCATTTTTCACATCTCCTGGGCTTCCTAGCATTTCTTTAATTTTAATCGAAATGGGTTTTCTGTTCGATAAGTTTTCTTATGTCAATTCAACTTATTATTATTTTTATTTGTCCATTGGGTTCCTAATGGAACACATTGCATTCTCTTCCTTGCAGTCTTTTCAACCTAGCTACACGACTGCCCACAAGCTTTCATTTCGTCCTCACACGATCTCCTCCAAGTCACCGTCGGACGCCCAACTCGTCGTTTCCCATGCGCGTTCCACTCGAGGGCCTGGAGCGTGATTTCCCCAATCAGCCTTCTCAGTGTATGCCTAATCCAATCATCTCCACTTTTATCTGCATATTTGTTGGGTGATAGGTTCTTGGTTGGTTCGTTATCAGGCCAGAGTTCCTTGTTGCTTATTCTTTCTGGCCATCTGATCTTCAGTATCGAGCCAGCGTAGGCAGCTGTTGATGAATGTCTGTAGTTTGTTGGAAATGCTTTTCGTAACGCACCAAGTTTCTGAACCATATAGCAGCACTGACTTAACATTGGTGTTGAGAATCCGGATCTTGTTCTTTATGCTGAGTGCAGTGCATTAGATCACCACACTGGTTTCAGGTTAATAAAAGCCTCTCTTGCTTTTCCAGTCCTGACTTTGACGTCCTCGTCTTTGCCTCCTGTAGTTGAAACGATGCTGTCTAGGTAGGTAGGTGAAAGAAACTACTTCCTATAGGTTTAACCATCGATGGTGATTAGTGCTTGTTGTTGTTGGTTGGTTATCTTCACATCTATCTACTCTACGTTCACTTAAAGTCCCGTCTTCGCTGTCCCACCTCCTCTGTCAACCTTTCGGTTTTTGCCTGTAGATCTTCGAGTTTGTGCCACAAAACATTAGACATAAATCATCATCGTCAGGGGCAAAATCCAAATCTCTTAGGGTCTTTTCATCGGTCCAGCCAGCGTATGCTCTTCTTTTTACTCCTCACAATTTTCTGCATGATACAGTCCAGTCGACCACAATCAGGAAGATCATCGGTAACAGTAGGCAGCCTTGTCTTACTCCTGAATTCACTTCAAAGGCGTCAGTGAGCTTTCATAATGAATCACTTGGCATGTGGCGTCGTCACATAGTTGTTGAATGAGGTTGATAAAGATTTGTGGCACTCTGTAGTGTTGAAGCAACTGCCTGACAAATTACTTCTCGGTTGACGCTGTCGAAGGCCTCTTCAAGATCGATGAAGTTGAGGTGAAGATCCGGTTGACTGCCATTCTACGCTCTGTTCCATGATGATACGTAGCGTAGCGTTTCAATTTGATCCACACATGACTTGTTCTTCCTGAAACCAGCCTGTTCCGATCGTAATTTTGAATCCAGCGCATCCTTTAGTCTCTCCAGGATGATGCGGCTTAACATTCTGCTTGTTAGAGGTGGACTGCAGTATGATTCCGCACCAGTTCTTGCTGACTAAGGTAACCCTTCTTTGGGAGTTTGACAAGGTAGCCCTTCTTCCAGTCGATCGTCGGGTACCTTTCCTTCCTTCCTTGCAGACCTTCTGCAATAGTGGCGTGGGCATGTCCGCTGTTGTCTCTGAGTCTGTTTTCAGTGCTTCTGGTGGAGTTCCATCTGGTCCTCCTGCTTTCCTGGATTTCAGCAACTTTATGGCATTGAGGACTTCACTTCTGCTTTTGTCGTGGGGCTTGTGTTCACTGGTATTTCTGTGGCTGGCTTTTGGTGGTATTTCTGGATGAGTTGCGGGTGGTGGTGGTGGTTGATTCAAGAGTTTTTTGAAGTGATCAGCCCATTGTTTCCATTGTTCCTCCTGTCTGGTAACCAAGTTTCCTTTGCTGTCTTTCACTGGCTTCATCTGCGTTGATCTCTTTCCAGGTGATAACCCGGTTGTTTGATATAATGTCAGATCTCTCCTACCTGCAGTCTGTTATGCTTCACTTGTCAGTGTGTCGTGGAAGTGACTTTTGTCTTTGCGCGCACTCTTCTTCACTTCTTTGACCAGTGTAGTGTTTTGTGCATTATGTTCAGTTCATCTTTTCACTGCTGATCCATGCACTACACTGCATTGATGCATCTTCTGCTTCGACATCTTCCTCTCCCTCCTCTATCGGCTTCCATATGTCCGTGGAGATCCATTCCTTGTCTTGTTTCCTCTTCCTTCCTAATACGGTTACAGAGGTTTCCTTCCATGTTTCTTTCAAAGGGTTCCAGTGTTCTTCCATGCCTGATCCTTCAGGGATGTTGCTCAGTGTCTCCCGTTTTATTCTGATGGCTGACGCGAAGATGTCGTTTGTTGTTTCGTCCTTTAGCTGAGTTTCTGTCCTGTGTGTTGAACTTGAACTGTGGTTTATCATCAGGTTCTTTGAAGACTTCCAACTTGATTTGGAAGGTGGACTCCTTGCACTAGATAGTGGTGTGAGTGGTGTGAACCTACATCTGCTCCCCTTCCTGATCTGATCTTGTGTCAAGTAGGCTGCATCTCCACTTTCTTCAGATTGAGATGAAGTCGATCGGATTTTTGGTGTTGTGTGTCCTGGTGTCTGGTGAAATTCATGTCGTTGCCTTTTGAATATCCTTGTGTTTGTACACACTGCCTCTCCTCCAATCACCAAATCGTTGAATGCTCAGAATTCTGCAAACAGTCCTTCATTCTCATTCATCACTTCACAAACGAGTGCTTCTTGACCCATGGTGAGTTCTCTTCCTGTGTTGTCTGCTCCCAATTCAGAATCTATGTGACCCATTAGAATTTTTATGTCTCCAACTGAAGTCTTGTCTGATAGCGATTGTAGTTGTCTGTAGAATTCCTCCTTCTCTTCATCTGCATTATTTGTGGGAGTGTAGCGTAGCGTTGTATGATTGTGACTTCCTTAACTTTTGATTTGAATCTTGCTGTCAGGATCGTGACCGTGGGAGAGATTGGTTCTTATTGTATGAGAGCCTTTGATGCTCTTGAGACATCATGATACCTGCTCAAAAACTCAGTGTGCTCATGGTTGTCGTCTGAGTGACAATATCGGAGTAGATTATTGACTGCAGTTGACAGTTTGGAGAGTCCACTTCCATTCTATCTGCAGATTCCTATCAGTTTTATTCCGTATCTCCCCATTTCTTTTGCGATCTGGGCAGCCTTGCCAACTAGCTCCAAACTTTCTGTGGACATTCCATGTCCCCATGCCTACTTTTGCTTTCATCGAGAAAAGTGCAGACACATCGGCCGATTGGCTTCCCGCAGTTAGCTTCACCAACCGGTGTCATTTTGTTTCCCCGTTTCCAGCGAATAATAAGTTTGTTTTTATTTTTTGTATTTTCTTTGTGCTTTGAAGTTTGTTTAGTGATTGGATTAGTTCTATGAGGTGGGGTTGCTAGCCCTATGACCAACGTTTCATCTTTATTCGGGCTTAGGACGAGCCAGTAACTAGTGAACTAGTTAACTAGGCGAGGTTATGTCAATTTAATGCTTAGATGTAATTGTGCAGTTTGAAAATAACTTTCTCTAAAAGAAAACTTCACCGTCTGTCAGTGTCTGTACATATCCACATCACACTTTCAAAGTCTAATCTACTTCTTCCTGTAGTTAAATTATTAATTTATCGTTACTACTTATTTTTTTTTCAGCTACCTTTTGAGAAGTCGACTGTTTGAGTCATTCCTGAAGGTTTAGGTAATGCCAACAACTTTCATGAAAAAAGAGAACCTATCTCACAGTTACATGAATCTGATTAATGTCATTTGTTTCTTTGTTGTTGTTTTTTCACTTACTTGTTGGATCCAACTATATCTGAAATGTTTTACCAAATTATATGTATGCTAGTCTGAACAGAAATTCCATATTAGATTTGTTTATTTGATTTATAAAACACATTAATATAGTATTATTTACTTGATGACGTTTCGAGCATAAATTATTGCTCATAATCATGATTATGGGGTTACATTATACCACAGTGCCCAAGTTTTACATTTATATTAATGAGCAGAAATTATTCAAATTACTTTTCTCTCTGCATTTTCAAAGTTTCTACATGGAGGTATGACTAATCGGTTGAAAAAGCCTACATACATACTTCTTAGGTAGATCAACTTTATCAAACGAATGCATCAGCTGTATCAACCCATTAAATTATGTAGAGATTATTGGTTCACTGGATCCCGTAACACTTTTATGAATTACCCTAACTTTAGTATTTATTACCTAAGAGTGGTGTGATTCTGTTCTTTATTCACTTTCATCTACTTGATAGTTATTGAATTACAATGGATTGTTTTGGCCTAACTTTCGTTTTCACATTAGAAATTCTTGGCACCTAAATTAATATAGGAGTAAAACTTAGGCACTGTGGTAGAATTGTAATTCCATTTAATCTGGTTATTAGAGTTGTCATACAGTGAAACAGTATTATTTACTGGATAATGTTTCGGACATAATTTATTGTCCATATATCATATCAGACCTGAAGTAAATATAGGCAACAAATCATGCCCGAAACGTTATCCTGTAAATGATACTGTTTTATTATGTGACACACCTAGTAAACAGACTAAAATGGAATTACTTGGCACCTCAGGTTTATATATTTGGGCATCATATTAATACGTCAAACGTTTTACATAAACTGCATTTCGGTATTAGACCATTTGATGAGCGTAAGGATGCGTTTGTACTCACTTTTTCAATTAATTTTCGGACTTCCTTATTATATTATATATTATGCCATTATTTGTACGCACCTCGGTTTCATAATCTATGTGACCCTATAATCAGAGCTTCAGCATTTGAACCTGATGATTGTTCAGTGTGCTTTGGTGAACAGCTAATCATTGATTAGGTATAAAATAACTTCGATTTCATACAGATTTTTATACGTTACATATTTTGTATTGAAGTCAGTGTTTTATTTCATGAGTGATCCTTGTTATGTGATTGCATTTTCTTTCGTCAATCGTAAACATTGAATTGACATGTTCGGTTTTGTGAGCAATTATCAATCGATATCTGGGTTGAAACAAGCAATCCTGGACACAGTGTACTAATCATCAATTTCACTTTCTGTTTGTCACCTACTATTTATTACAGTGTGTTTTTATTTATAAAAATAGTTCAACCTAGCAGCTGTTGTATGTCGTGGAGCTGTGGCTAAATGATTCAGGGAGATGAATATCAACCAGTGGGTCACGAGTTCGAACTCCGCTCCACCTACCGAGACTTTGGCAGCCAGGTAGCATCACCCGCGTCCTCACACAATAGGTGTGGTTTATTGCCTACTGTTTGAATGTGCATAACGTTGCTGAGTGCGTTTCGTTTCGTTCATTCGTGTATAAAATGTTATCAGTTGCTGTGTTACGGTAATTGCTTCACTGCAGTGTAAGCTTATATAGATGGCAAGTTTAAAACAGGACGAAATGTTACATTGGTTGATTCCCGGGAAGCAATTAATTACATATTGTAGAATATTAAGTACCAATCGAATTATGTCGATTATTTTTGGATTTTGTTCACCAAGCTGAGAGACTCATCATAACGGTGAACTATGATTGATGTAAGGTAGTTGAAAGCAATCACCAGAAGGCCTATAACTGGATTTCGCGCTTGTTATAACGCATCAGAAGGCATGTCTGCAGCTGTGAGGAAACTGATGTTCCTTCAAAGATTAAAATCCACATCACCCAGTGCTGCAGTTAGAGGTGTTGCCACTAAGCAGTTCAGAATACTGCTGACCTGCTATAGGACTCAATTAAAACGAAATGTAACTAACTAATTGTTACGATACCAATAATTTCTCTTGTTTTCTAAGCTGATGTGATCATATACGTCGTCGCAAACCATTGTTTAGCTGGCATTTAGTAGGAGTCCTTGCCGTGAATAGAATACCTTATCTATGATGAGCAATTGCACTCTATTTGTCACTAAATGAACCTTTTACTGGTTGGGACTTATTTTCATATCACTAACATTCATTTGTGTAAATCATTAATTTTTTTAAAAGACATTATTTTATTTCGCTTTTAATGTCAGGAAGATCATGAACAATCACGAGTTATCAAAGACCATGTTGGAGCAGCTGAACGAAATCAACAGCGTGTAACTGCTGACCCATTTGAAATTATGTTGGTGAATATGGGTTATCGTATTCCTGGTCTTGATTTTGATTCTAATAGAAGTAGACGATCAAGACATTGGAATCGGGAACACGCACTGAAGGAGATAGTAATTCAAGCGATGAGGATGATACGAATTTTGAGAGGAGTCCAATCTCAGAATCCCAACAGCTTCGAAATGAAACACATTCTGGTTCTAATCACCGTATCACAAGTAGCGATGATGGAACATTTAATGGTGAACCTATTCAAAATAATATGAATCTCATAAACAATGACACTACAAGCACTGGTAACCAAAATCAAATCCATATCCCCGTAGAGGAGTTGACTGACCTTACTGACAATCAAAAGCATAGTGTAGGCATATCAAGGTGTCAAGGTGTTTCAATATCAAATAAATTGTCTCATCAATCAAGTTCACAAACACCTGAACAAAAACCAAGCAAAACTGTGAATACAACTGTCGACGAAATCTTCTTTCAACCACCCACTGCTGCTAGTATATTCGATAGTGATTCTAATTCTTCAGAATGTGATTCTGACTCTAATGATGATACTCCAACTGGAAATACAACAAGACGTCAGCGAAAAACTTCACGTAGACTATTATCAAATGTAAATCGACTCAGGCGAAGAATACTTACACGTAGAATACCATTCCGTGCTTCATTTCCTAATGAAGAAATCGCAACCACTTCTTGGTTATTTGATTTCGAATTAAATTCTTCTGACCCACAGACAACTACAAGTGAAACAGTGAGTGTGCGAAATGAAGAAGACGAAAGTTTGAGAAACATTTCTCGAGACGAAGATGCATATGATTCTAACATTGTATCTGAATTTTCATGCACGTAAGAAATCCTGATCTTTCGATTGAAAATTGTCAGCTACATGTAATAAGTTACGATTACTACGTAATTAAGGCTGATTTATTGTATTTATCATTCAGAAGACTGAAATCGTTTTTAAAAGATTTTTTAAAGTTCAGAATACCTGATGACTGTAAGATATAAATATCTGAATCTCTGTTTTATAATTTTTACAGCTATTCTCACCATCGACTGTTTAGAGTTGCAAGTCATGGTTTTCATTTTTGTGGCTTCAATTTTACCAATGGACAGTGTCAAACGAATTAGTTCTGTGAAATCCACTCAATTTACGAGATAGTACAATGTCTAGTCTAGTTTTTAGCACAATATAGATATAATAATAATTTACACTTATGCAGATTCCAAAAGTAGATTGAAGTGAATGTTTAGTGCTTTTAGTTTCAGTTATGGGAAATCTCCAAATATCTATTCATCCTATAAAGCGACTATTGCACTGTATGCCGTTGATAAGACCACATATTCAATCAAAGTGTTCTCAGCACGTATATGCGGCTTGTACTTTCAGACTCAAGTTGTTTTCTCCGTTTTTATCGCTGGTAATTATTCACTATCGGACAAAATTCCCCATAAATTACCACTTGAATTATTCACTACCTATGATGTGTGAAAATGCAGAAAGGTAAGTTAACCAATAGTATTAATTAAGTAATTCTGAAAGTCATCTTATTAGGGTATGTGTTTATCACTGATTGGAGGGAGTGGCTTAGAGTCAAACGAAGAGATATGAGTAGTCAGTCATCGTCGAAAACTGTTATGCGTAACTCGTGTAAATGCTCGTTTGATTCTTGGCAGTGCCTGTCCCCTCAACTAGTCGACCACTTTTGAGGTGGTTTAAACTATTCAGTTTTCTAGACTAGGTCACTTCGCGCACACAGCTTATAAGCTCATCACAAAATGAGCATAATAGTAGACCGATGTTTAGGTCACTTCGACCTGGCTAGTTACCATTGTTGATTGATCGATCACATTGGTTTTCAACTGCGCATGCCAACCAGTAATTCTGCAAATTTTTTATCAACTGGTATTTTCTTTTTTCCTTTCGTCTACCCCTTTAGTGTCAGTTGAGTCGTTGTGTCATGTTCATACTCGCTTTCATCTAGTTATCCTTTTCAACGTTGCAGTAAGAAGACATTATCTACTAGGATAGTATGAAAACGATCATATGAAGTAAAAACTTTCGTATCATTATTGTGTCTTTTTTTTCATTATTATATTTACTAAATTGGCTTTTCGTTGCATCGGTTTCCACGTTTACCTATTCTCCGGTTGTATATCAGTTTAAAATAAAAGTTGCTGCTCAATTTATTAAAACTGTCAAAAAATAAGTCGAATTTGGTAACGTGACTGATTATATTTTGTATATCTGCCTTACGTTTTATGTAGTTTGTACTTGTAAATAATAATGATTCACCTTTAAAAACTAAGCAAATCAATTTATATTCAGTATCATTATTCTTACTATTATTATTGAAAGAGATAAAAAAGAAATGGTAATAATAATAACAACACTGATTGATACTGTTCTAATGAATCTTTTCTCACGTAGTGAGAAAGTTACAAGTTTTAAATTGGTTTAATGTGATAGGGGAACTAATTGAACAATATTGAGAGTAGTCGTCGAGTTCTCAGCAATGTCAGGTCATGGAGATGGTGAGTAGTATGCCGACTAAGTTTTCTAGGGTCATTGTGAAATAACTACTTGGATATTTGTCAGCGGATGATATCGTAGTTTAGCGATTTAATGTACACCATAGGGTAATCCATTTAGCTGTCACGTTCCTCATACTCCTCAATGACCTTATTTTATCGGCCAGTCTTGCAATATGATAACACCTATGTAACACGACACTGTGCCCGCTAACATTGGGTAGTTAACTAGTGACAATCATTATCTTATGATATGATAATCAGTTTACACGAAGGCAGTATTCCCCTCAACTGTTCACTATTAAACGTGTTGACGTTACATTAAACCACAATTTTCTTTCTCTGATGTCACTTTTCTCAAGAAAAGAGGGTTAAATAAAAAAGGTCGGAACTGAAAATGTCATAGTCCTATTCGCTCCAAAGTCTTCCGGTGACGGTGATATGGGCTTCCACTGTCTAGTGTTAAAACAACCAAATCGCACACCAACAATCCTAGAAAGGATGTGTGACAGGTCGCCAAAAGGTGCCTCTTGGGCTCTGCGGTCACACAAATCATCTCTTTCAGTGCACTAGACCCAATCAAATATAGCCTATCCTCCTCGACTCTGTCTCCTCCTTTGCCTTCACCTCCTGATACTAATGTAAAACCCCTTGCACCTTCCTCAACCTCTCATTCTGTGACCATTCCAATGATCAAAGCCATCGAAACATTCCTAGTCTCCTCAGACCCCACCATTGATTTCATGTAGGAGATTTCAACGTCCAAACTCCATCCCAAATCTGACAACAAACATCGCTCCGTAAACCTTTGGAATCTCGAGTCATGGGTGCATGCTGTGTCTCTGAAACATGGACATAGGACCCAATTGTGGTTATTAGAGTGACCTCACCTGACCACAGTAGCGAATCTTCAAAATTCACCTTACGAGTATCCGGAAGCCTAGGAGCTAGATGTCATGGACTCGCTGGTGTAGGCATACCACTGAACCGTAAGAGAAAGTACGCATCTCGATTGGATATCATTCAGTAGCCATTTGCATGCTGTTCGACTAAATGAATCTGTAAGAACTAAGAAAGGTCGTGATACAAACCGATGCCTGTTCGTAATCTTCTACGCACTTACCGAATGCGGTTCAGATGATGCAAAAGATGAATTCCATGAGAAGCTGTCGGTTTTGCTACAGAAGGCACAACGTTCAGATGTAGTCATAAGGGCACATGATTTCATCGTCAGGGTAATAAAGCTGAAACAATCGGAAGGCATCCAGCAGGTGTTTATGGAAGTCCATATCAGCGAACTGACAGAGGTGATAGTCTCACCCTATGTTTTTCCAACTACTACTTGTTTCTGGCCAGCACCACGTCAGGCATAAGAAGGCAGAGACATTGTCTCGCATGACGTCCACCAACATCAGACCGACGATTGACACAGACAGACCATATTGCTGAAAGCCACCACTGGATAGGGTTACCGTTGTTTTTGCAGTACCCGTTAGGACTTCGATCACGTGTTGATAAGGGCACGTGTAAGTCTGCACTTTACTGGTCTCAGAAAATAGGCGACAGTAAGGTCTATATGTGCTTGGTTTGAAGCTGGGAACGCTAAGTATGCATTTAGTAAGGATATATATTTGCATTTATTTGAATATGACAAAATACTCATCCTGCAGAAACCTAATATGATGTTAAGTCCTCTGCAGAAACAGTGGTAAGACAGTTAGTTACCTACACAAAAACGCTTGCGAAGGTCACTGCATTTCCACGACATCATCCGAAATAATTCACGCGAGAAAATCCATGTCAGCTGACTCACCATAATGATGACAGGAAGTAGCTCAAATGCAAATTGACCAATAGTATTCACAAAGGGGCGCAGGCAGTCATAGGGAGTAAACGCCAGAGAGATGGAGAAGCACCGAAGTTTTGTAAGATCGAGAAAACCATTAGGCTCCTTTCTCACTGACAGAATAACGTAGAACCTCGCACACAGGTGCATCGATCCAAGTTACCACACTTTACAGAAGTACACAAAGAACAGGTGGATAGTAAGAGTGATATCAAGTAAGTTGAAGTAGTGTGAGAGAGTAAACAATCTGAAGACAAAAGTTAGTGCAAATATTCAAACTTTAGGCATCTGCGCCATTGTGACCGGTTTTCTGTCATGTCACGTAGAATCCTCGATCACTGACTCCTTTCGTCTCGAGGACCCCAGTCAGGCAGTTTGCACACGGTTCAGACCAACAGCAGGAGACTTCATTGACTGTTGTCAGGCCTTGGTTGGACCACCTTGAAGCCTCTTCCAACCTACTCCGAATGCCCCTAGAATGGCAGTGGATCGACATGCTCAGTGTGTCCAAGCCATCTCAGTTGACCAAGGTTCACTACCCCAATCGGCTTCCTTGATACCCTAAGGATGACTTCAACATTGGTCGCATGGTGATTCCAGCTATCGCAAACATTGCCAAGACATCCGTGATCAAAACCCGGTAATATTAACATGTCCTCTACTTTCAACGCCATATCTCGGCCGTACAACCGGACAGAACAAACTTCCTTTATTAGGTAGTCGGTTATCTCGCAGGTGCCAGAGGTGACGCAGGTCAGCAAATCCCGAACGGGACTTCTGTATCCAGACTTAAATTTCGTCAGCAACCAGTCCGTTTGAGCTGATGCAACTCCCCAAGTAAGTGAAATGATCTACACATTCCACCACTTCACTCTATCAATAAACTGGGAGTACTTGCAACAGGCCAGTACTGGCGCATCATCTTACATTTGACAGGTGTGAAACACTCGGATTTCTGCTCAACACGTTCAGAACACCCTACATCACGTCAGTGTCTTCAACAACATCGTCTGCATACTCCAAATCAACCACCCGCTATCCATCATGACCATAGCCAGCTGGAATCAGTCTTCTTGCAACTGGCATTTCGAAAGATGCCGCGAAAAGACAGTAACGTGCTATTCTTCGGGTGTAGGTTGACAACTGCCTTTACCTCTTATTACTACGCCAGACTTAATATCACGCCAGGTTTTTCCAGCAGGAGCACTGCTATCATGTACAGTTAAATGCCTAACTAACTCCTCTCTAAATGTATAATTGGACTACTCATAGATGGGCTTCGCTGCCTTTTATTTACCTCGGCAAGTAAGGCAAAGACATATACAACTCCGTACTAACGCGTGATCATTATCCAAACAGTTACTTCAGAAAGTATTGCAATCCTGAAACGATGGCTTATACCAATGTGACCTACCTATGTCCATCGTCGGTTTGAAGTCAGCGAACGCCATGTAAGACAGAATCTCTCCTTATGCCTAAAGTTAGTGCTGACCAGAAACAGTTGACTGCGGGAGCAAAATCGCAGCAGACGATCGATGTTGTCGGTTCGCTGGCAAGCGACTCTATAAATACCACTAACATGTCTATCCGACTGCTCAGATAACCTAAATGAATGTCGAAGTCATAAGCAATTATGACTACGTCTCAACATTCTGCCTTCTTTAGCAAGGTTGACAGCTTCTCATGCAATTCATCCTTTTCATCAGCCGAACATCAGTCAGTGAGTGCGTAAGCGGTGATTACGAATAGGTATTGCCTAGTCTCACGATCCTTTCTAGTCCTAACAGATCCATTCAGTCGAACAGTACCCATATGGCTGTTGACTGGTATACAGTTCAGCTGCTCACTTTCTGTTCTACAACTGAACGGTATGCCTACACCAGCGGGTCCATGACAGCTAGCCGCTAGGTCTCCGGATATTCGTAAGGTGAATTTTGAAGATCGCTACTGTGGTCAGGTGAGGTTACTTTAATAACCACACTCGGGTTTTGAAAAGTTCAGCCCCATAAATAGCACACTTCCATCACCCCATAGCATGTCCCTGTCTGCGACAGGGATTCACAGTTGAATTAGAAGGCCATGAACCAAAATCTAAACCCTGCAAAAGGGCCTCAAGTAGATGTACCTTGAGCTCTGCTATCACGCAGTAATCCTTCTTTTTCAGCTACTTCAAGAAGACCTATCCTTTCACGATACTGGAAGCCAGGAAGTATCAACTCAAGTTCTCTCAGACTACTGTCCAACTCCCGTTGCCTTATCTTCTAATCTTTCTCCACGTCTATGGATCTTTTATTTTACATCACCTTTTATTTCACCCGGCTCTGCAGCTTTGGACGATAATCTGATTTTACACAACATCACCCTTGGTATCCTAAAACCGCTCTCCAAATTGCATATTGGAGCTTCAACACCTGGACCCTCTGTGAAGTCGGCCAACAAGCTGCACTAGCCACAACTCTGGCCATGGATGTGTGCTGTGTTTATCAGGCACGCATACAGTACTCAAGTGTGGTTACTCACTTAATCTCACCCAACCAATAAGGTGAGTTCGTAAGATCCATCCTTCGAGTCT